ACAACAAACGAGAGAGAGAGAGAGAGAGAGAGGAAGGTAGAATAGCAAACCTACGGCATCATAAATTTCATCATTCTTCTCAAAATCACCGGACTGTCTAGGGAGGATATGAACATGGACATGAGGAACTGTTTGACCTGCTTCAGGGCCATCCTGTCAAAATTAAGCAATGATCAAACCCAAATTGCTAGTCATGGGTGCATAAATTTAAACCAAATGATCTCAAGACTTCCAAATAAGTTAATTAGTTGAAGAAGGGACATACAATGTATTTGGATTACTATTCAAGTGGGCCGCTGCTGGAACATATTTGAATAGAAAATATCAATGTGGTTTGAAACATATTCGCTAAAGAGCATTGTGGTTTCACAGTTACATGTTTTGCTCCCAACTGATCACTATTATTAATCATGAAGAAAGAGCCAATTAACAATCCACATGACAACAAGAAATAATTGCATAGTACAAACTAGAATCTAAATTTGAAGCACACTCTTAATGTTAAAAATTAAAAACAAGTAGGAAAACAAACCAAAACAAACATTCAGTCACATTATATCCAACAATGAAATGAAAACTTTAATCAGAAGCATTGTAAACCAACTATTAGCGGCTTTTGAAATCCCATGCCAACGATGTCAAAAAATAGGAAGAATGCAGTGGTCTCCATTACCAAGGGTCACAGCATAACAAAGTAAACCAGAGTGGGTTGGGAAATTATAGAGTAAGCCTGGAAGCTCAACACTCCTGTAGAAAAAAAAAATATGAAGGCATTGGTGAATTTGAATTTTGCACCCAAATTCTCACAATGTAAACCTATTATCTTTGTTCCATTAATCCATTAAAATACTAGTATAATGACCAAAGAGAAAAAGAAAAGAAAATCCAAGATGTAGATGGAACATGAAAATTTTTATACTATAGATTCAACTCAAATTAGCTCTTTGAGATAGGGTTCCCCTAATTGAAGCTAGAGGTCAATTTTTTTTTAATTCAAATTGACCACGTTGTATTGAAATAAAATTACATGACCATAAACAGACTATGGAATAAGGAGCTCAATTTCCAAAATCAAGTGTGTCTCAAAAGAGACCGAACATCTGATCTTGTAGAATCTCATCCATTTTCTCATAAAGCGAAGGGCACGGATTTTTCGATCAAAACAAAAGTACTATGGTGTGAGTGTAGCGTGTGAAATCTTCGGTTCGATCAAAACAAAAGTACTATGGTGTGAGTGTGGTGTGTGAAGTCTTCGATTTTTTCTTATATCTCTATCCCTATCTCATAGGTACAACGTTTGAATCAGTAGATAACCTTTTCTTCTGTATGAATTGATATTATTACATTCTAATTCCTTCTCAATATCTTGTGGAAAATCCCGAATTGAATTCCAAATTGACGGGTTAGTGTGAACTTAACAAAATTCTATTTGGTCTAACATGCTATGGGTGATTCAGAGTTAGTGTAATGCTGATACCCCGCTGTTTGGCCAAGCCATCAGCAATGCTATTGGCTTCACGTCAAACACTCTGGCATGAAAAAATTGAGCAGTGCCCTCAGCATGAAACTTTCCTCAAAAATTTTGTTGGCTCCCCACAGACAAATGGATTTCATGTTAGCCCAGTCGGTGGTGGTTCTAGGGTCCCCTTTGACCTTAATGAGTTTCCCATCTCTGTCAAACAATTTGGGTCCTTCTAACAAGCACATTTTGACCTCAGATGAGGTAACGTGCCACCAGTGGGCCCAGAGAACGACAAAATTGTGGTGCCAATAGTCCCAGAAGATGCCCCCTGCACCTGCCCTATTAGGTTTACCAAGGAACACCCATCAAAATTCAGTTTGACAATGCTAGGCCCTGGAAACACCCAAAATTGATTGATTTTGTGCCCTTTTTTTCGAATGGAGAAAATTTCAAAAAGTTTGAGGACTCATTTGAAACATTGCCATATCTTATTGGAATGATTTTTAGGGTCCAAGAGAGGTTATTACAAGACTTTTGGCGTGACTTTGAGCATGACAGACGTCCAAAACATTAAATATCAAAGATTGAGCAAAAAAGGTAACTAGACAATCTTAGTGTGTGGTATTTATTTCCCATATTCGAAATATCTCCTTTGGGGTCTACTAGGTGTTGAGATCTTGAAGGGATACTGTATTAACCTGGATAAAAATGAAAAAAATAAAATAATGTGCAATTTTCGTGGTCATTTTTCAAATTCTAGGATAAATAGGTTCAAAAGGCATCTTGCAGATATTAAGGGGGATGTTGCTCTATGTAAAAACATTCTTGAGCTTGTGAAGAAAGAGGCTCCTGAATATGTAGAAACTGAAAAAAATAAATAAGGTAATGAAGGAAAATAACATAGCTGATTTCAAGGCAGGAGCTAATATTTTTCATGATAATGATAACCATTGTTTTAAAGTGTGGCCGCGTCACAGCATATGCAGCCGCATCACGCAGTATGCGCCAGGAGGTACATCACAAAACAACGCATATACGCTTTGGTGGGATGCGCCCTAATAGACGCTGCATCCCACTACATATGCGGGCTCATCAGCGTGGCGTAAAAAAACCTCTCGAAAAGGGGTATTTACATAATTTCCCCCCCAAAAGTGGGGATAGGGGTTCGGGGGGGGTATCAAACCGCCCAAAACAACAAAAACAACCACTTTCGTGGCATTGTTTGCATCAAAACGATTAAAAAAATGGTGGAATTGTTTTTTCGGGAAAATATTTCGATTTCACGTTAGTGCATCTTCCTTGTTGATTGGGATTAGCTTGGGTGTTGATTTGAGGAAGTTTGACGGAAGATTTCACCACATATAGAGGGTTTCAAGGGCCGAGAAGATGTCGATATTTTCAACAACTAATCGGTATGTTTTTATTTCCTAATACTGTAATACTTTTTTTTGAGGCAATGTCTTCTTCATAGTCATCTAGTAAAAAGGATCCGGCTTGGAGATATGCAAAACTCAAAGATGCAAAAGACGGAAATTGTGTTGTTTGTGACTATAGTTTTTTAATGTTTATGAATTATGATAATATGATGTCTTCTAAGTTCTATTGTCTTTTATAAAGTTAGTTTAAAGTTTCTACTTTCTACTTTCTAATGTCTTCTATGATCTATGAGGGGATAGTGGATACAAAAATCTCTAAGAGCTAATACTAATGGAGTTAATGAATAAATTAAAGACATACTATCACATAAATCACCTCCATTATTTTTTCACGCATTTAACTTATTTTTTTGAGATTTTTTGGAATTGTTTTATATTTATTGGCTGCATCGGGCCCCCGGCCGCATTGGGGCCGCATCCCGCATTTAAAAACACTAATGATAACGATAAGGAAGGGGATAATGAGGTGGGCCAGGTGGCATTCTCTCAAAGTTCAACAAAGGGGTTTTGGGTCTAAGAGGCTTCGTTAGAAGGGGCCCATTAATGTTTTTTTTGAACCCAAACCTGAATCCACAGTTGAGAAAGGGAAAGGCCGAAGCAAGTGAGTCATCATCATCAACAAAGCCTTTTTCCCAACTAATTCGAGTTGGCTACACGAATTTTGGTCCGCCATTCTAGTCTATTAAGAGTGATATCCTCAGTGAGGCCATAAGTTCCCATATCTTTTCTCACTACTTCTAACCATATCTTTTTGGGCCTAGATCTTGCTCTTTATGAGCCTTCAACTTGAACTAACGCGCACCTCCGAACAAGTATTGTACTAAGTCTATGCCACACATGGCAAGCCCACCTAAGTCTACTTTCTCTCATCCTATCGCCTATTGGTAAAACACCTAAATTCTCTTGAATGTATTCATTTCAAATTCCACTCATCCATCTCAACATCCTCATCTCAACTACACTTATTTTATGGGTATGTTGTTTTTTGACCGCCCAACATTCTGCCCCTTAAAAAAAAGTTGGACTCACAGTTATCTTATAGAACTTTCCCTTCAGCTTCATTGGCATGAATCAATCACATAAAACTCTGGTTGCACATCTCCACTTCACCCACCTAGCTCTAATTTTATGCGCAACATCTTCATCAATCTCTCTATTTTCCTAGACTATTAACCCAAGTTATCGAAAGTTCGCTCTTTTTGGTATTTCTTGGCCGTCAATCTTAACTACTTCCTTGTCTCTACTCCTATTATTACTGAACTTGTATTCCATATAGTTTGTCTTTGTCCGGCTAATTTTAAAAACTTTAGATTCTAGAGCATCCCTCCAAAGTTCTGACTTTGTGCTGATGTCGTTTCGGGTCTCATCGATCAAAACTATGTTATCTGCGAACAACATGCACCATGGGACCTCATCTTGTAGGTGCCTAGTTAAGTCGTCCATAACTAAGACAGACATATCGGCTCAATGTTGATCCCTGATGTAGACCCTATTGTCATTGAAAACTCACTCGTTTCTCCACCAGTTGTTTGTACACTAGTTCGCACTCCCTCATACATATCTCTCACCATTGATTCTTTCCCAACACCCATCAAATCTCTCTAGGTACTCCATCTTAAGCTTTCTCTAAATTAATAAAGACCATGTGAATGTCTTTTTCTTTCGCCCTAAAGTTCTCAATCAGCTGCCTAAGTAGAAAACAACTTTAGTTGTAGACCTGTCTGGTATAAAACCAAATTGGTTTTCTAATACAATCATTTCATGCCTTAGTCGTTGCTGAATCACTCACCCCCACAGCTTCATAGTGTGGTTCATAAGTTTGATCTCTCGATAGTTCACACAATCATGTATGTCTCCTTCATTCGTGTAAATAAATTCCAAGAGGAAGACAAATGCCGAGTAAATCAATACATTGCTCGGTAGTTTTTATAAGGAAGACATTTCTTGTAATGTCATTTGCCTAAGTAGCTTCCATACAATAGTGGATGCAATTGGCCAAATTGGGCCACGGTTAAAAGGCCCTAGCCCATATGAGCTCTCAAAGACATTACTAAAGAAAGAAGTAGAATACACCAAGGAATACCCCAAGCACCATACTCCACGCCATAAATGTTGCTACACAAGCACCTCCATGCCATAAATGTTTGTCGTAATATGATGTCACATGAAGTATAGAGCTTGAATTACAAACAGTTATGGCATGGAGTACGGTGCTTGTGTAGCAACAGTATGAATGTGATATATTACACATGCAG